TATATATACTATTTAAATATTTATTTTCAAACCGTTGAGTTGTACGCATTTTTAGGATGTACAGTGACACCAAATAGTATTCGTAGGAAATTTTTTATAAAAAAAGTCTTATTTGAAGAAAATAAACATTAATCAGCAATTTTATACAATGAATACATTCTGTTTTAACATATACAAATGAGCTTCACATGTATTTCTGATTTTTAAATTAAATTTCTCGATTGTACTAATATTTTTTGATCCAAACAATGGAACTTTTAATTTTCGCTTATTTTTCTGATGATATATTTTTTATAATTAATACACATCTTTTTGATATATATAATTTTAAGAAACATATAGTCTATTTTATACTTTATGAATTGTTAATTATCCGGCATGAAATGATTATCAATTAAACGAATTGATGTCAAATTGGTGTTGAAATCATCGATATTGATTCGACATCAATTTGATGACTCATTTCTCGCTGGATAATATTTAATTTCTAAAAATAAAGTTTTTTAAAAAAATATTTTCTTTGTACGAATACTTTTTGTACTTGCTGTATGTATTGTCTGAATTGCAATTTGACACATTACAAGTCCCCAGTTTCGCGTCCATACAAAGATTATCTTTGCGATTTCGCTATCGTCTCACAAACTTAGAGATAAAAAAAAATACGGAAATCGAAAAAATGGAATGAAACGAGATAAAAATAGGAATGAAACGTAAATAAATGGAAATCCGAACGAATTGATGAGTTGAGAAGCGAGCCATTAGGTTTACGTATGCGTGAGTATGTATATGTTGAGCATAGCTATTTCAATGAATATGTATATAAAAGAGGAATATAAAAGAGCGTGATATTATCGTATAAAATGAGAACTTTGTTTTTGCGCCTCGCGTTTAGCGCTAAAAATGCAACTCCAAATATTTTAATCTGACAGATTTTAGAATAAAGACCTCTCGACTGTTTGAAACGAATATAACATATATAAAAATTGATTTTTGACACTTGGATGAACAGGCAAAAATCAATTTTATCCTGTTCAATTCTGCGAGCTGCATTTAGAATTAAACGCGCGACGCGTTGCTTGTGACTGATATAGTCGCATGCCATTGTGAGCATTATGTAAAAAGATGGAAAAAAATCAAAGAATCTATTGAAAGCTTTAACATTAAAATAAATTAATCTTAGAAAAAAGTAAACGCAAAAAATTATACGGTATAATTGCGCGAATGTGGAAGCACGACGTGAAGAAAAATTCGACGCTGCCATGCGCGTGATCGTTTGACATGATCTGATTGTTTCTAGGTATGTCTCTCTCTCTCTCTCTCTCTCTCTCTTTCTCTCTTTCTCTTTTTCTCTCTCAATACGGCCGAATGACTCGCACGCCAGAGAAGCGTAGCATACAATCCGCATTCCAAACTTCATGAGATCGAAAATTTCGAGGAATTCATGGGCCAGAATTCAGGCTTGAGAATTCTCTCTATCGAAAGCTGAGTTTTTCCAGGTATTCGCGGGATGAAAATTCGCGAAATGACGAACTTAAAGCGTATTCAGATTCCTACCTGAGTGATTCCTACAAGGTGTCATCCTTGTCCAATGTACGATAAATAACAAGAATAAAGTGATACTCGAATGGGAATCTGAATTCAGTATTACAGGGCACGTCACGCGTGTCCCGTCGTGCTTCTCATCATTGTAAAAAGTTTATTGTATATTACCTATATATATTCATGTAAACGTATATATATGCGAAAAGCTAGAAAAACAAAAGAATACTTGTTTTTTTTCTCTAAGAAAAGATCGAGCAAAAAGATTATACCTTTATATACATATACATGTAAAGGAAAGGCTCCTATTATGAGATACTGAGTTCATTTTCATAAATAGGACAAAATTTTAAAAAATAATAGGTCATTTTGAAGAGAATTTAATGAGCTTTAACGTTATATAAAAGTTAATTTAAATTCCATTTTTTTTGAAAATTAAAAAAATGTAAAATGTGAGCAAATCACACAGTCCAAAAAATTGTGCTCCTAATATGAGATACTCCGAGAAATCGATAGTACAACGCAAAGTATATCAAGAAATTTTATTTCATGTTTCTAAAATGCAAACAAATATAGCCAGCGTGAAAAATGAGCATGCGATAGATTATACTCAGAACTCGTCTTCAGATAATTGGAATCAAGCATCGCAGAAATAGACACTCAATATTCATTTCGATTGTTGTTTTTATTGTTGTACAATAACATTTTTACTCTTTAACGATTTTTACTACAACATAGGAGCGTGGGTTATTTCATATTAGAAATACCCTAGATATTTCATATTACGATTTCCTTATTTTTCGATCATCAAATCTAACTTCTGTAATTAAACAATTCAACCTATTCCGTATTTTTCTATTAGTACAACTTTACTCTACCATTACATGAAGAATTTATTGCCAAATATTTATTTATTAAATAATAAACAAGATTTAAAAAGACATCCATTCTAAAATCTTTTTTTACAATGATTACAGGTATGATTTAATAATGAATTTTCTACTAAATAGTTTTCAATCCAAGAGCAACAAATTCATGGTGGAATCAATAGATAATGTTTATTAGTTTAGCAGAAACGCTCTCAAATTAGGACTATCTCATATAATAGGGGATTTTCCTTTCAATTATATTAATTATCATGCGCTCGCGCGCGCAGCACGTCGAATTTAACGCAAGATCCGACCAATTGTAATTACAAAAAAAATTTTATTTCTTCTGTCATTCTCTTATGTACGTCACAAAAACATATGTAACAGTATTTCCTTTCAAACTGCAGATTCTTTGATAAGTTTCGTTTTAAACAAATTTTATACAAATGTATAAACGCGTTACTTGTAATATAAATTCAAAGTGAATTTTCGAAATTATCGGCTGCAAATTCGAAGTGTCTGTAATAACAAAACAAATTTCAGATGTGCAAAAAATTCGAATATTTATGATTTTTATTTATGATATTCGACGGAAAAAAAATGTGAACTTCAAAAAACTGCATCTAAAAGTTCCCATAAGTTCACATAATAACGCCTGCGTGCCACGATAGAATGTCTCTCTTTTTCACTTCTTTTTCACTTCTCTTCTTCAAGAAATTAAGTATACATTGTGAAATATACATCTACTAATCATTTATAAATGCATATGAAAGAACGAGAGAAAAGGAAAAAAAAAGCAAATGGGAAAAAACAGAGAGAGAGAGAGAAAGAGAAAAATATGTTTTAATTGAGTGATGATGTAATGTGTGAGTGATGTAATGTGTATTGAATGAGATAATATATCTATCATATTTCTTTAAAACTCTCGAATATCGACGTTTAAAAAAGTGTAAATGTGTAAATGAGCACGAATGCATGAAAGAGTGTGCATGCAAAAATAAGAGAAGAAGAGAAAAGAGAGAGAGAGAGAGAGAGAGAGAGAGAGAGAGAGAGAGAGAGAGAAAGAATGTGTGAAAAAAAATAAAAAGCAACAGGGAAAACATAAATTAATATGCATCATTATTGACGTATCACACTAAAACGCGAGAAG